AAAAAAGGCAGGCTACAAAATAGTAAGCATAATAAAATTCCAAAGAAGATATGGCAGGATATGCATATCAAGCAGTAGTAAACATGGTGATTTCTCTAACGGGAAAAGTCATTTTCTTCTTTTAATTTGCATTCTCCTAAGAAGTCATACAATATGAAACAAACAAACCCAAAAAAAAAAAAAGTACAATCTATTAGAAAAAGAAAAAGTGCAAAATCAAACCTAGCATTTTAGGTCTCAAGCTTTAGGAGAGATACCAAACAAGCAATTTCAGAGACAAGTTGGACATCCCATTAAAATGAAATAATCTCTTCTCCAAGAGCTACTAGGGCTTTAAATGGCTGATTGTTATCAAGGCCAAATAACAGTGCACAACTGAAGATGCTACAACCAATTTGGCTTCATTAACTTTCAGGATTTCAGCTGCCCCGTCATCCTTGGGAAACATGCTAATCACAAGGAGAGAAGGAAACACGTAGAAAATGAATACTGATGAAATAGATGAGTAAGTCTGATACTTCTGCTCTTCCTTCCCTAAACTCTTGTAGCGTTCTCACCTCTTTGAGGCCATTACTGTCGGGTACTTACCGCTGAAATATCTTCTATACAGTCTTTTTTTTTTTTTTAAAGAATTATTTATTTAATTAATTTATTCATTCATTTATTTTAATTTGACCATAGAGAGACTCAGACAGAGAGAAAGAGAGAGGAAAAGTGAGAAAGCAAGCCACCAGGTCCAGGACTTGAATCGCGGTCGACCATGTGGGAGTGTCTACTGCCTTAACCATCATGCCACCTGCTGGTTCCCCTTCTACACAGTCTCATTTGGTTGGCTGGACTGTCCTGTACATACATATGCCTGGCTTGCCCAGTGGTCTATAAAAGACAAAGGACAATGACTCGGCCCTCCTTTCTCTGTACTCCTTACAGTGCTTATTAGCACAGGGTAGGATCTTTAAAGTATTTCTTTTTTAATTAGAGGATTATTCTTTAATTATTAATTAATTATTTAATTCTCTAGCTAAAGAACTGTTTGAACATGACTCTACTGTAATCTATGAAAAGTGTCATACAAAAAAAGAAATAAATTTAAAAAAAGGTGGCAAAGACCGATTTGCCAACTAGAAAAAGCTTTCATAAAGTATCCTATAGAGGAGGAAAAGGCAAATTGCTACCTTAATCTGGTCAATCCAATACAGAAAAATGAGGTTTTATCTACAGGTGACAGTAACCACAAAAACAGGAAAAAAGAAGGAGCAAAGAGAAATACATGGTGGCATTCACACACCTGAGAGACCTAAGGGCTCCTGGGCTAATCTCCTGGTAGGCAGCCCAACCTGGCCTGAAGTTGAAGCTCTACAAACAGGAGAAGGTACTAGGTTGATCTGCTGACCAAAGAGGCTTCGGGAATGAACACAGCTTCAAGCACAAAACTTTCTCACTCTCCTCCACTTTCAAGTCCCTGGAGCTGGCACTGCTCTTAATTACTCTGTGTTTCTCTCAAATCTAAATAGCACTGAGACGCCTGCTTCATCCCAGAGACAAACTCATGCTGTCACGCAACTTGAGAGCAAACCACGTGCTCTTTCTGTGGTTGCCTTTCAGCCCGACTTCCTGCTTATAGCATTGAACAAATCTTACTTCCTCAAAATTAAACTACTGAACTACCCTTAGCTTGACTAATTTCTTTAAACGTGAAAGAAGAAACAGTAATGGATAAATAAGTATATAAACAAGCATTCTTTTTATAAAGCTATTTAATACTCTAAGGTCTTGAGGTAAAATGCATCCGAATTATCTCTTCTTAGCTATCTCTGCAGAAATGTTTTCTCAATAGGAAGTAAAAGAGATCATTATCAAAAAAGAAAAAAAAAAAGTACCACATTCTGCCTCTTCCTAGTTTCTAAAGTCTTACTTAAAAAAAAAGAAAAACTTATACAGAAATAGAAAACTATAAAAGTTTACCTACGAAAAAACAAACTTTTCATATTTTTTTTTCTGAAAAGAACATGCATAGTGATTTCATTGAACTCTCTTTTGCAAAATACCTAAGTAACAGAATCTTTAGGTGTCAAATTTTTAAGCACAGCAAATTCGAAGAAACTCCATGTGCCTATTACCTGTCACATTGCTGCATTATAGAGATTTCTTTGATTATCTCCTGCAGGTCTGACTCCACAGGAACTTGTTTAATAGCGACGATCTGGCCCGTCTCTTTATGAATTGCTTTGTATACACTGCCATAAGACCTGTATTTGGGGGAAGGAGAACAGTGACAAATCACAGCAAGCCAGGTGTAAGAAGTGGTAAGACACAGGCAACTCCCAGCTCTAATTTATATTCTGAAGTACCTAAGACATACATACTTAGCTACACTTAGAAAGCTAAGACAGCTGAAGTACTTCGGGAGGGAAAAAGTTGTCAAGGTAACTACAACAAAAGGGCGTCTTAAACACTCCACATTTAGATTTTAATGAATGACTTTTCATTAAATATTAATTTTAGTAGTTGCTAGCTAGGCATTATGTCTGCTGTCTGCTAGAAACTGTATTACCTCAGTTTATCCTTTCCAAAAAATAAGGAAGAGTGATTATGCTTATTTTACAAATAAATGAAGGCTCCATGCTTTGCCCAAGGTTACATAAGTGATAAAAAAAAAAGTCCAGGATTTGAACCCAGGTATGTTCAAATACAAAGCTTATGCTCTCTCCACATCTACACTAGGGTACAACATGCAAGTGGAAGTCTTTTCCTGTATTCACTCTAGCACTACAGGTCTTTCCTTTCTGTCCTCACCCCTCTTACTTACAATAATGTATAAAACATTATAAAAACTAATTAAAATCTAAGCCTCTAAAATGCTAGTATCAGGGTTGGTAAGTAGCATGGTTAAGGACACTGGACCACTACATGGTTAATCATGGTTCAAGTCCCAGACCTGCAGGCTTGCTTTCTCCTTTTCTCTTTCTCTCTCTCTCTATCCCTCTCTAGTCGAATTAAAATAAATAAATAAATAAATAAGTAAAGTTAATTTTTTTAAAAGGGAGATTATTTAAAATGCTAGTATTAAGTGCACAGAGCTCATACAAATTATTTTTGCCTTTTACTCCATCTTCCCATAAGAGCTTATTATCAAAATAATCATTTATATATCCATTCAATTTGGGGGCTACAAGGACATCTGACTTAGAATCTAAAGAGCTAGGATTTGAATTCTATTTCTAATACATATTAACTATCATGTACAGGCATTATTAATAACCTTACTGTACCTCAATTATCTCTTCTTCAAAATGACACAAAAACAAAGTATCTTGTAAGACAATTGTGATGGTCAAATGAGATCTTATCACATGGATTATTTTCTTTGGAATTCTGAATGGCTGTCAGTGAAATATTAATAAGTAAATTGGGAGCCAGCAGGTGGCATGATGGTTAGGGTACCGGACTCCCACATGGCTAACTGTGACTCAAGTCCCGGATCTGGCAGCTTGCTTTTTCACTTTCTCAGTCTTTCTCTAGTCAAATTAAATAATAATAATTAATTTAATTAATAATTATTTTTTAAAATAAATAAGTGAACTGTCTTTCATATTTGCCAAACATGTATTTCTTTACACTATTTTAGTGAAGAAAAAAATAAATCAAACAGTGAGTACCACCTAATCCATCAAAGCAGCAGAACCTTTTGGCTGCCAAACAGATGCTTAAGAATTGTTTCAATGTGAAATATACAACTTTTTCAAAGGCCTATGCACAGCACATAAAAATTTGCTTTTCATTGGAGTCCTTTATACTTGAAAACTAGTATGCTTAAATACGACATCAAATACTATTGTGCCAGAGAAAGGCAACTGCTGACTATGTGTGGAAGACCAATCACTGCCCTGTCTTACTAAAATAACCTTGGTTTGCTGAAGTGCCGATGTGCTTGGTTCTAGAGGATAAACCATGGTAGTCTAAGCCAGTCACAGGGCTCCTACCTCCTTTGCCAGTGACTAAACTAGTAGTAAGAATCTAACCCAAGCCTGGGCAAAGAAATTTGTGGGGAATTCTGCTCCAGTTTTTTAGGATAAAACTGTCTTCCCTGATAAGGTTTCCACGGGACACTTCCCTTCTTGTCTGATTACTGACATGTGAGGGATTACAAGTGAAACTCATGCAGCTGTCTTGAGACTCAGAAGTGCCAAACCATCATGGAGTCCATGAACCATTCCTGAAATCTCTCAACTCCAGATTTATTATTTGTTACTAAACACCTGTATCGGGACCAGCAGATGGCATAATGGTTATGTTGCTGAACTCCCACGTAGTCAACTGCAGTTCGAGTCCCAGACCCAGCGGCTTGAAACTCATGCCAGGTGCGTGTGCGTGCATGCCCCCAAATCCCAAGAGGAGAATGGGGGAGAAGGGACTGCAGCGTGTCCATCCCCCTGGGGGGTGATTTCTCACTTTCTGTCTCTGTATCTGTCTCTGTGTCTTCAGTAAGTGCACACGCCCTATAACAAAAATCTCTCAAAAAAACACCTGTATCAGTTCATTACTGTTAGGTATTCTATTACTCCCATCCAAAGATACTCAGGATATGCATGGCAATCATACTGGAAAAAGAAATGTTATACACTATAAAGATGTATGTGATTAAATGTAATATTAAAAAATAAATAAATAAAACAAAGGCACTCTTAGTACACTAGACCCCATTTCTGAAAATGTCTTCATTTCACCTTCACTCTGGAATGGCAGTTTCGCTGAAGATAGAACTCTTCTCTGACAGAAGTTCTCCCTCAGCACTTCTACTGCAGTTTTCCAGCCTCTGTTGTTGCTGAGAAGTTTGCTTTCATTAGATGATCGTTTTCATAAGTTATCTCTCCATAGCTTTTAAGATTTCTTCTATATCCCTAACATTCTACATTTTCACTATAATGTAACTAGGAATTGATTTACTTAGTACTTCGTAAGCATCTTCAATCTGAGGCCATGAGTCGTTCCTTCAAGTACGGAAGATTCTTAGCACTGTCTCTTAATTTCATCTCTCACTCTCTTCTAATATCCCCTTCTAGAATTCCTATTGGGCCCACTGGATCTCTTCAATCCATGTTATCTTCCTGGTTTTCAACACTATGTTTCTCTATTCCGCATTTTTTAATGTTTCATTTTTATCTTTAAATTCACAGATTCTCTTTTCAGCTTGGCTAGTTTACTGTTTATCCCATTTATAAGGCTTTAAAACTTCAATTACTGTAGTCTTCCTTGTTAAGATTCCTTACTTTTTTGCTTTTCACTGGATTAACTGTTCATACTAATAATCTGTTGTACTTCCTTTACAGATTTTATTCTCTTTTAGCCTTTTAAAAATCATAAACAAACATGTTAAATCTCTCTTCAGATGCTCCATTATTTCTATCTCCTTGGGTGTGGATGCCCCATTTGTCAGATCTGTTAACTCGGGGCGGTAGATGTCTGTGTATGGACTTCATTTAATCCTGGATGATATTCCTCTACACTTCACTTGCCGTTAGATCATTTCATGGCTTCTTTAGGCCAATAGTCTGAATTGTACTACTTATATCAGGTCTTATTTCAATCGCCTAGAGATTTTGCCCTTCAAGACAGCACCCCTGGGACCAGCAGGTGGCATGGTGATGAAGGCGCTGGACACTTGCACACAGCCGACCAGAGTTCGAGTCCTGGACCTGGTGGCTTGCTTTCTCACCTTCCTCCTCTCTCTCTCTCTCTTTCTCTCTCTTTCTAGTCAAATTTAAGGGGAAAATAAATAAATAAATAAATATAATTAGAATAAATTATTCTTAAAAAAAAAAAAGATATCACACCTAAATGCAGTGTAGGCCCAGTTCCTGTTGTGAGATCAGTACCTCTACTTTTTCCACAGACCACAAGCAAATGACATTTTCTCATGGTGGTCAGGCAAATGTATTTCAGCTTTAGTTCACAGATGAGTACTTTAGTCTTGGTCTACAACTTCATGTAGGAAGCCCTACTGCAATCTCCTGACAAGGACAGGGTATGCTTTTTCCATTCTCTTTCATTAGATTCTTTTCTATCCCTGGTCCATAGCTGGCTATATATCCTTCTATTTAAAAGAATTCATTTTCATTCACTATTCTTATATACATTAGAAATGGAAAAGAAAGGTCTTGGTATGCACTCAGCACTCTTGACCAGAATGGTGTCTGTATCGCTCTACGCTGTCTTGGTAGCAAAGAAACTCCAAGAGCTCCTGTGAATCATTAAGGTTCATGATTCCACACACTGCATTTACATTAATCTGAAGAGGCGTCATAGACTTCAGAAATCATGCTCACTTACAGACAAGTCCCTTAAGACCCAATTCCCTACAACAAAAATTTAATGATTCAATGAGTTTTAACTAGCAGAGAACAAATATGATGGAGGAGGAGGAGTTTCACACATAAGAATAAGACAGGATTTGAGGCTAAGTCAACCAGGTACAAATCTTAACACAGCTCACTAGCCATGAAAGCATGGGCAAGACAATTTTATCATCCTATGATAGAAACATAAACGAGTCAATGTGTAAGTATAATAGAAGGAAAAAGGTGCTAGGCTGCAATGCAAAACACTTTTCAGGTGCTCTCCACTCATCTTGGTCTGGAATTTTGGCTCTACTCTGCCACAGATCTATAATACGAGACTTCCTCAAAATACAGAGTGACTACAGCCTCTAGAATCCAGTACAGTTCTTTTCCCAGAGCTCATCTCACAAGACATCAGTCAGTTGAGAGTTCATAATCCAATCATTCTCTTGAACATTTGAAGTATGGCATGGCCATTTGTATTTAAAAAAGAAGTGCAGTTAAGGTCTTCCTTCAGGACTTTGCTAGTTAAATGAAGCTCGCTCCGGCTAAGCCAGGATGACAGAAATCCAAGCATCTGTGGTATCACTGAGAGAGCAATATGGTGATAGTGTGAGAAGAGTGGAAGCTTTGTTTGTTTCTCTCTCTGGTGGTATCTTTAATTCTCACATTCCACGTTCCTTGCTGAAGACATCCACAGATCTAAAACATAATTTAAGAAATTATAATGAGCTTAATTTTCCTCATATTATACCCCTGATATTTTCTGTTTATTGTGTTACTTTTGACATTCCCTAAACTTAGTCAACCCAAACAGAGTTACATATAAGAACACCTAAATAATAAGACTGAAGAATTAACTTTGATTTGACATGGTGAGGTTGAAGAAAACTTCAGCTGAAGTAATTTTGTCATTTCCCAACTTACAAAAAGACAGTAACTAATATTTTTACTAATTACCACTACTGAGCACTTACTCTGTGGCAAGCATGTAGTTAGCACTTTATCCCTATTACTTCCCGTAATACCATAACCCGATGAAGTAGAAACTGTTACTGGGTTGTCGATAAAGTCACAATGCATTTTTGCATTGAAAAATACATCGTGACTTTCCCAACAACCTAACATTATCCTCGCTTTATAAATGAGGATTGTGGGGCTCCAAAATATTAAGCAATTTGCTCAAGTTCTCTTGTTTATTATGACTCATACACAGAGAAGCAAGGATTTTAACATGGGTCTGTCTGACTTCAGGGTTTATGCTTTCTCTACCATGACATGCTTTAATTAAACATGAAAGGAACAGGTTAGTTATGTAGTCAATTACGCCGGCCAGTCTCCATCTTATTCCAAAGTAGACCTATGAACACTGTTAGACGAATGGCCTTGGTTTCAGTGTCTTTAAGGAAATACCAAGGATTCCATTCCTGAAAATGGCAGGCAAGAGACGTAGAGGGACTGACATTTCCTCGTACCTTCGGTGACGCTGGGTAACTGGCAGTCTCCACGGTCAGCCTGGACGTGTCCTTGGCAGCACAGCTGGTGTCATCTTTGACTTCCCTTCTCTGCTTGATTTATTGCTGGATTCCAAAGAGTGATTTTCCAACTTACAAAAAGACAATGACTAATGTTTTTTATAGAGAGGTAATCCATGAAAAGCTATTACACGTAATACAGAACTGGGATTAATATTATTGCTAATCTGTATTAGGCATAAATAACAGTGAACCCAAAAAATAATCTAATGACACATAAGGGATGATTTTAAAGAGCATACAGTTAAGAGATAGCAAATGTTTTTAAAGATTAGTGTGTTGGGGCCGGCAGGTGGAGTGCTGGTTAAGGGCTCTGGGCTCCCACATGGCCAACTGTGGTTGGAGTCCCAGAACTGACAGCTTGCTTTCTCACTTTCTCTGGTCAAATTTAAATTAATTAATTAATTAAAAAGTTAAATAAAATCATTCTTTTTAAAAAAAGGTGTCTCATCAAAAAAAAGTGTCTTGGGTGTTTTTAAGCCAGAAATATTCTAAAGTATTAAAAATACACACATGTACATACAAATACACATATTTGCTTTTATATGAATAAACTATCATGGAAAGATACACAAAAAACTTCTATACTGGCTGCTTTGGGGTTGCTGAGAGCCCATGGTAGAGAGCAGATTTTTTTTATTGTTACACTTTTACTCTTTCTGAATTTTGAATTATATAAATGTATTACCTGTTCAAAACTTAACAGGACTGGCCAGAAGCATGACAGTTAAGGAGGCTGGATCCCACCATGGCCAACTTCAAGGTTCAAGTCTCAGACCCAGCAGCTTGAAAAATAAGCCAGGTGCATGTGTGCCCAAAATCCCAAGGAGAGAATGCAGAAGAGACTGTGTCATGGTCATCTCCCTGGGAGTGTTACATCTGTCTCTGTCTGGTAAGTGTACATGCTCCACAGTAAATTTAAAAAAAAAAAAAAATTAAGAATAAAAATTTGAGACAGGGCATCACTGATATTTTAATGTTCTCATCATTACAGAAGAAGAAATTAATACAGAACTGTAGTTAGCCCTGTAGCCTAGTGGTTATGGGAGCTGGATCCCACATAGTTGATTGTGTGGTTCAAGTCCTGGACCCAGTGGCTTCAGAAACATGCCAGGCACTTGTGCGTGCATGGCCAAAATCTCAACAGGATGGAGAAACAAAGGGACTTTGGTATGACCATGCCCCATGGAGGGTGTTTTCTCCTCTCCCTCTGTCTGTGGTGAGTATATCCACTCTCTGACAATTTTTGAAAAGTAAAAACAAGGGGACCAGCAGGTAGCATGGTGGTTAAGGCATTGGACACTCTCAAGTGGCCAACCATGGTTCAAGTCCCAGACCTGATAGCTTGTTTTCTCACTTTCCCTCTCTCAATCTCTCTCTCTATGTCTCTCTCTGGTCAAATTAAAAATAAGTGAATAAATAAATAAATTAAATAAATAATTCTTTAAGAAAAATAAAAAAGTTAAAGCAAAACAAAACAAAACCACACAGGATTAAATTAAAAGGATACACGAAAGTACAAAAAACTTATGATGTGAACTTTACTATATAATGAAAATCACTGATGGCCACGGCCTCTTACTAAAATAATTCTATCAGTATTTTATAAACTCTTTCATAAATCTGTGTTTCAAGAAGTCCATTGGTGAGCTGGCACGATAGCCTAGTGGTTAAGGGAGCTGGAGTCCACGTGGCCAACACATGGCTCAAATTCCACCCGGAGACTTGACAAACAAACTGGGCATGTGCACTGCATGCCCAACATGCCAACAGGATAAAGAAATGGAGAAGGAACTGTAATATGACCACATCCCACTGTTGGGTGCTTTGTCCCTCTCCTTCATTCTGTCTCTCTCGGGCAAACACACATGACTTAAGAAAAAAAAAAAAATTAATAAATTTGTTTTTTAAATTCGGTGGTTCCCAACCTGGGATTTTGGATCACCTAGGAAATGTAAAGATGGTGACAGTTCTGGAGTTATTTACTGTATTTCACAAAGCTGCAAACACTAAAACGCTGAATCCTACAGTTTTTTTTTTATTAGAACAACAGTTATTACATACCAATCAGAAGTTATAAGCGGCAAAAGCATTCTGATTAAAAAGAAAAGTTGATGAATTAATATCTAAGGAGTGCTATCTGTTAAAAGAATAAAATCATGCAGACCACAGAATCTACAAGAGAAAAAAACAAGAGAGAAGGATGTCCTTGGTATTAAAAAGACTGAGAAGTCACTAAACTGTCAATAACGCTGATTGTGGTGGAGTGGGAGAGGGCATTCTAAAGCTGTAAATTCCCTTCACCCAACCTAGAGCCACTCTTCTTCCTCTTCTTGGCTTTGAGAATGATCACTTTCAGAAAGGTTCATATGCTTCCGGTGTTGGAGCAGGAAAAAGACTAGGTACCCACTGCTCTACCTATATTTTCTTTTTTTTCTTTTTTCTTTTTTTGGAGAGGTTTTCGCTATAGGGTGCGTGCACTCGCCAGAAAGACAGAGAGAGACAGAGAGATAGCAAGCGAGAAATCACCCCCAGGGGGGATGACCACGCCGCAATCCCTTCTCCTCCATTCTTCTCTTGGGATCTTGGGCACGCATGCACACGCGCCCAGCGGGAGTTTAAGCCGCCGGGTCCGGGACTCGAACCACGGTCGACTACATGGGAATCCAGCAACATAGCCATGACGCTAACTGCTGGTCCCATCTACCTATATTTTCTTTACACTCACCCTTCTCCAAGTTTCTCTAAGACATCAAACACTTCTTCTGGCTGTTTGGTTAAACTATCTTCATCCAACTTTTTCAGCTGCCTGCAAATGAAAAAATATAAACACTAAATAATTTTACTTGCTAGCAACCAATGGTGTATTTTTATAAAATACACCATTTATTTTACTATTAGCATCCTAGGAATTTCTCTACATCATGAATAAACAACAACAAAAGCGAGCAAAGAGACTTTTAAGGGACTTGAGAGACTAACTGTTCTGTGGAAGAACTATTCTTGCTCTGGGTCAGGTGATGAGCAAAATCAGGACCAGAAGGTGAAGAGTCGCCAAAAATCAGACTTTCAGTTCAACAAGTATAAGAATTTTCTAACAATAAAAATCCTACAATGATTTAGGCTACCTTAAGAGGTTCCCAGTTCCCCTTCACTGGAAATGTAATGGGGGGGAGTAAGAGGGAGGACTTGTCATGTGGCTGAAACACTACAGAGCAGATTTAAACATTAGATACATTACTTAATCTATTCAAATCTTAAGAGTCCACGAATTTAAATGACATAACTATCTCTTTTCAGAAGAGAAGTTTAACATAAGGTTAACTATAAAGTGAAAGTAGGTATGAACTGGGCTGGTGAATGAGGAAGACTTAGGAAAATTGTACTCTCCATTAGCAAGGTTTTGGGAATTTTGTCGATATACAGACATACTATAGGTAACACAGAAACAGAACATGGAAAGTATTCATTTAGATATGATCAAAAGTGAAATATAACAGCATTTTTACTTTCTGTACAACAAAAAAAAGCTTTGTAAATAAAATCAACATTTTGGGGTCAAGAAAAGTGAAAAATAATTAGGTAACTGAAAAATTCAAACATTCTCACAAAGGTCCTTCATGAGCTGGGACCAGCAGATGGTGTAATGGTTACATCACCAGACTCGCATGTAATTGACCTTGGTTCAAGTCCTGGACCCAGAGGTTTAAAACTCACACCGTGTGTGTTTGTGCATGTGCATGCGTGCCCAAAAATTCCAAGAGGAGAATGGAGAAAGTACTGCAGAGTGGCCATCCCCCCAGGGCGTGATTTCTCACTTTCCGTCTGTCTCTCCAGCAAGTGAACACACCCTAAAGCAAAAATCTCTTTTTTTAAAAAAAAAAAAGATCCTCTATGAGCAACCACACACCTCTGATTAGTCCCAAAAAGCAAAGGGAGGGGCCCGCAGATGGCATGGCGGTTACGTTGCTGGACTCCCACATAACCAACTGCAGTTCAAGTCCTGGACCCAGAGGCTTAAAACTCACACTACGCAAGTGTATGTGCATGCCCAAGATCCCAGGAGAAAAATGGAAAGAAGGGATTGCTGCACAGCCATCTCCACCCCCCGGGGGGTGACTTCTCACTTTCCTTCTCACTGTCTCTGTCTCTGTCTCTGTCTCTCTCTCTCTCTCCAATGAATGCACAGGTCCTAAGGCAAAAAAAAAAAAAAAAAAACCTCTAAAAAACAAACAAACAAACAAAAAAGCAAAGGGAGAGAGATACTGACAACTGTTAAACAATTCAGATTTTTCTGGCTGTGCTAGGCATTCACAGCAAGGGGGTTATAAATTAATCAGATTTTCTGAAAACTCTGAAACCACTGAAAATTATTAATGGGCTTAAAAGAGTAGCTTCCCAAGGAGTATTTCTGTATATGTGTGTGTCTCTTGTCTACACAATGGCTTCCTGAAACTATAAAGGACAACAAAGAAACGAGAGTTCAGGAAATGGTGAAATATGGAAGTACTCACACAGGAGATTTCTTTATAAAGTAAAAGGTTGAAAATAGCCAGACAATACTAATTCTTACAAGAAAAGACCTGAATTAAAACAAATACATATGCACATACACATGCGTATACACACGCATACCTTCCTAAAGAAAGTAGCACAATCAGAAGATAGACACAAGAAACAAAAACAAAAAACCCTGAACACATCAAACGTATCTACCGATAACTACTTAGCTCAAAATGACACTCCCACAGAATTTCATAAATATCAAGAACTCCCTGCTAGAGAAATGGAGAACTACTTGAAGTCCACAATTGTCTTTACCTGAATATCAATAAAACAAAACGACCACAGTGACCTTTGCTAATCAAAAGGTCCTAAAAATTAAATTCCAATGACATCATAAAAACTCCCAGCTTCAAAACAAAAACGGCTGAAGTGAAACTCCTCTTAAACCTCAGAACCGAAATTTCTATGAATCTAGAAGTTAGAATAAACATCTTAAATGGCGGGGGTGGGGTCGGGGTGGGGGTTTGGAAAGCCCTGAATTATACATTGTATAAACAATGGACAATACCTCATTTCTCAAGTATAATTCCTTTTATAAACAGCTTATATAAAGGAAGATCAAATGGGTTTCTTTGAAGTGTTGACTCTTCGTGGTTTACAAAAAGCCAAATGCACAACTGCAACTACTACAGAGACCACAGTCGAACAGAGGAAACTGCCATTGCCATGAGGGACAGCTGCGAGCCTCTGATAACAGGTCTACAGGCAAACTCCACGTGACTATTCGGACTCCTCTTTAAAACAATCGAAGTGGGATTTTGTTTGCTTTTGATTGTGGGTTATTTAAAACAACTTGAACTTGAGGATATTGCTGGTTCTGGTGCCCAATAGCTAAGAGAGATGGTTAAAAAAATATTTGCTAAATGGATGAACAAATGGAATGATGAGAATCATAACCTTCACCAGCAATCTTTGGAAAGAGCTGTCAAAATAAAACAGAATTTCATCTAAAAAATTCACTGGGTTGTCAACAAATCAGATTCCTATAGAAAAATATTTTGATAAGTCACTCATGCTGATATTTTATACCATGGCCTCCAAAGAACAAGCACGATTACCAAAACGGCCCAATTTTGATGCGCCTCTCTCTCTCTCTCTCTTTCTCTCTCTGTCTCTGTGTCTCTCTCTCAGCTGGGACTTCCCCAGGTGTTGGGCAATTTCAGTGCTTGCTCATAAATGAACAGGCCTGGCCAATACAGCCTCCATGGACCAAATACCGGTGGATGCCTGGCTCCCAGGTCAGAGGGCCACGTGGAATGCCAGCATCCCAGGAATGCACTTCACACCTTTCACCACATTGCTATCTGAAGGGCAACCCACTTTTTAAAATTATTTCCTGCGATCTATCATCATTCACTTAATCATACTCAAATGTCAAACTCATGAACATAAAATGAATTTCCTATACTGGGCTTACTGGAAACACATGCCATCTGAATTCCTAAAAAGACACCTAAACTTTCCAGACAGGTGGCACAGTGGTTAAGGCCGCTGGATTCCCACATGGCCAACCACGGTTCAAGTCTCAGACCTGGTGGCTTGCTTTCTCACTTTCCTTCTCTCTCATTCTGTCCCTCTCTGGTCAAATAAAAATAAATAAATAAAATAAAGTTAAAATGTGTTACGCTTTTTTTTTTTTTTTTAAAAAGACACCTAAACTTTCCAGACACAAATAATGATGTTTATGAAGTAGTAATTCACTGGTTTGGCTAATTCTTTTTCTTCTTGCTTTCTTGCAAGAGGACTCATGCACTCGCCAGAAGGGGAGAGAAAGAAAACAGCCCCCAGTGGGACCTGACCACACCGTAATCCCTTTTCCATTTCTCCATCCTTGAGAATTCAGGCATGCTCACACACGCATCCAGTGCATTTCTCAAGTCATCAGGGCCAGGATTCAAAACCCTAACCATTAGGCTATGGGGCTACCCCTTGGCTTATTACATCTTTTTCAATTCTCAGAAACCATTTAAGGTTCATTTTATTTAGGTACACCTATACCTCTTTGCACACAGAATTTGACATGGGTAAACAAACATTTAAGGTAAACTGATGAAACGTTTTAATAGCAGTGAAGTTGTGTTGCCCTCACCCCAATTCATATGCTGAAGACCTAACTCCCAGTGCCTGAACTGACTCTAGCTGGAGACAGGGCCTTTAAAGAGGTAAATAAAGTGAAATGAACTCATATAGTTGGGCCCTACTCCAATCTGACTGCTATCCCTACAAGAGACAAGTAGGACAGAGACAGGTACAGAGGAAAGGCCACGTGAAGACTCAGGGAGAAGGCCCTGCCTTGATTTCAGACATCCAGCCTTCAGAACAGTGAGAAACTAAAATCACATCGTTTCAGTGTTATGGCGGTCCTCACAAACTACTACAAATGACCATAAAATGAATTTGCTGCAAATTAAGCAGCCCACTAGTTATAATGAGCAGGAGCACACCAGTCACCGGAGACCTCAATCCCTCATCTCTTACACTTAGAACACGTTTTCGAAAACCTGACAGTACAGGAATGAGCATGTCAATGAAGCAGTAAGGTTTACTTTTTGCCCAAGATTATACAACATAAGGCAAAGGGAGAAACAAAACTCAGATTCCTAATCCTCTTTTCAATTAAGCCAAGGCCCTGGAGAAATAAACCAGAAAGAACTAACACACGTCAGAGAGAAGCATAACCATCGTACATTTACGACTGGATCACTATGGTGCTGTAACAAACATCTGCTAACATACAGAAAGACTTGTGAAACGGAGGGGGGGGGGGAATGTGTGTGTGTGTGTATTTCCAGAGAGGCGTTAGAGTGAGGCAGTCAAGAGCATAGACTTTGGTCCACACCGTTTGTATATTAAAATCCCAGCTCTGACCTTACTAGCTATAGAACCACTAGCAAATCCTGGCCCCGCTAAGCCTTGGTTTCATCATATGCAAAGTAAGGAAATAAGGACATGTACCTCACACGGACTGTTGGGAAGATCAAATGAGCCCATAATAAGTTGAACCATATGAAAATGCCATTTTTTTAGGTCAAAAATGATCAAACAGGAGCAATTTCATATGGTTCAACAGGAGACAAGGAAAACATTTAGAACAGTGACTGAGGGGGTGAGGGGGCCATCCAGCTGTGTGGTGATTGAGGTGGCTCTATCCCACGTGACCCACTGTGCAGTTTGAGTCCCCAACCTAGCGGCTTGAAAAACACGCTGGGCACATGAGCATACATGCTCAAAATCCCAAGAGGAGAATGGAGAAGGGATTGCATCATGGCCATCACCCCTGGGGGATGCTCTCTCTTTGTCTCTTTCTCTTTCTTTCTCTCCAGCAAGCACACACACCCTATAGCAAAATTTAAAAGAAAGAAAAAGAAAAAAGAAAGAAAACAGAGTCTGGCACCCAGTAAGAGCTTTATGAGTGTAATAATCATTACTATTATAGTCTCAGTGCACTACACCAGGGTGAATCATGACCTAGTCCCAACCAGCTATTTGCATTCTGCAAATTTTGTGCACTTCGAGCAACCTCTGGGAGTGCCACGGTGCTGTCAATCCCTTCGCCTCTGGATTACCCCCATGCACTCCCACACAGTGAACACTTCCTCCTTTCCTGTTCATTCTGCTGCAGGAAGTCGGATGAAACAGCAGTCAACTACCCTACAGCTCAGAGAAGCACGATTTGCTCAGTCCCTGCTCCCTACTTTACTCCAGTTGTGCCAGAGTGACCCAGGGTTCACAGGGGAAAGTCAAAACATCCAAACGCAACCAATCCAGGAGCGCAAACTTTCTCTGTCAGCCACTTCTTTCATCTTGACCTGAAACAACTCCAGGGACCCCCTAGGATCTGGAGCTGATGTACACAAAACAACCGAGGCCTCAGAAAGGCACAGTATGGCCAGATTGAGGGACCGAAGAAAACACATGTGTCTGAACTCCGCTGGACCTTAGTCTGCCCATCTTGGAAACAGTCTCGAGTTCCTTATCTGCCTTTCAGTGTCAGGTTTGGACAGGCTAAGGAGGGTCTGAGGAAATCAGGAAGACCCTCTGACGCTGGTAATGACAGATGCCCTCATCATCCAAGAGCATCACCCTAAACGCCATCCTCCGCCAGCCCCTCCGTTGCTAGAACCTCAACCTTTCTCAGCACACCTTGAACTTGGGGGCAAAGCGTCTCTGCTGAACAGATCTTGCCGCTACCGCGCCCCTCAAGCAGGACTTAGGACCCTTAGAAAGTCCACCTGGCCCTCTCTGCCGGTTCTGGGCGACAGACCCCGCATAGGTTCGAACCAGGTTTCGCCTCCGTGAGCCCCTTCCTGAGCAGCAGTCCCCTACAAGCCCCTGGCCTCAGCAGGTGCTTTTCCTAACTTGTCCCCACGCTCCCCAGCTAGTGTCCCCACGCAGCGAATGCTCCCCCGACCAGCCCCACGTTTACCCCCATCAGCGGGTGTTCCCTTCCACCAGACCCCCACCTGCCAGACGTCCCCCCACCCCCAACTCGGCAAGTGCACCATCACCCGGGTCGCCCAGCCCCGCAGGTCCCTCCCCTTGGGGGCTCCCACACAGACGTCACCCCTCGGCCAGTTCCCGCCTTTCCCAGCCCCAGCCGCACGGCCTTCCTCCCAGCCCGCGGCCCCTCACCGGCGCGGCGGGTTCCTCAGCTGCACCGTCTCCATGGCGCTGCCGGCAGCAGCTCAGACCCGCTCACTGCTCCATCCTCCTCCCGGACCTCCCCGAGCCCGCCCCGCAGACCCTCCCACACTTCCGCTTTCCGCCCTAACCGGAAGCGGCGAGGGAGCAGGGCGGAGCCCCGGAGGTGGAGGCTGGGTCACGTGGGTCGAGGCGCGCGTCACGGGGCGGGTGGCACGCTGACCCAGAAAGGTGGCGGGCAGAGGCTCTGCCTAGGACGGTTGTCGCCCTGCTCCTGGGGGTCCGGGTCTGACCAAGCTCTCCCTTGCTTTGTCATGATCCCCTTGTCCTTCTTTTTTGTTTTTCAGTGCCCAGAGTGCGTGCATGCTGGCCTGAGAGAGCCGGTGACGGAGAGGGAAAGTGAGAAGACACCCCCTTACCCCCATGGCGGAGGGTCACACACAATCCCTTCTCCATTTCTTGCTCCTTAGGGGATTTTGGTCACTCACACGTGCCTGGTGTGGTTTTCAGGCGGCTTGTCCTAAATTCAAGTCACACAGTTGGCCTTGCGGGATCTAGCAGCGTTAACCACTGGCCAGCTGGCCCTGTTCCCTTTTCTCAGAGGTACTGAGGCTTCTAGGGGACAGCCAACTTGATAAGAACTATCAATTCTCAAGCAAATTCTCTGCTGTGAACAGAGGGGAGATGCTGCACATCTTAAAATTGGGTTGTTCTGGGGACCCCGCAGATAGCCAGCAGTTCCATCAGTGGACTTCCACATGGCCGTCCCCCGGAACTGCTGGAAAATCACACTGGGTGGGTGGGTGTGCCTGCCCAAGGTCCTGAGAGGAGAATGGAGAAGAGATTGAAGGGTGGCCATTCCCCCTGGGGAGTGATTTCTCACTTTCCCTCTCACGATCTCTCTCTCTCTCTGTCTCCACCCAGCCCACGTGCCCCAAAATGACTTTTTTTAAAAAAATGGGTTGTTTTCTTACTATTGTTTTGAGAGTTCTTAATATTCAGGATGCTAGTCTTTTATGAGATTATTGGTTTATAAACATTTTCTGTGGCTTGTCTTTTCATGCTGTCAACAGGGTCTTTCAAAGAGCAGTTCAATTACCATTTCTTTAATTTCATAGGTCCTACTTTTAATATCATAACTAGGAAACCTGGGGAGGAGATGGAGCCTGCAGGCTCGCGTCTCAGGTCCCTATGCCTGCCGACCTCTGGTTGGTTTTGGCCACTGGAAGGCACTGGTAGGAGACAGGAAGGCAGGATAAGAGAGACCCGAGCCTTCCTTGGCAGCTTTTGCTTCTGGTCAGGTATTCAGCGGTGGCTCTGTCTTCAGCTCCTCCTAGATGGGACTGACTTGACTCCACCTTCCACAGCCTGTTACCTCGGCTCATAACACAACTTCCCCTTTGTCACAGAATACTAGGGTAATGGTGACTTCCTGCTGTTGCTCCCCTTTAGGCCGCCTCAGTGTCTCCTGTTTGCTTTGTGGTCCTTCTATCATCTGTGAAAGCAATTCCCTGCATTAAGTTTTCTCTGTTTCAAACCCAAAGTCATCACTCTTAGTGTGTTTGCACGTTGGGCCCTAATTCTTACTCCTGTGCTGTGGTGTGAATGTTTATGCTCCCACCAAATTCTTATGTAAAAACCTAAGCCCCCAAGATATTAGGAAGTGGGGCCTTTGGGAAGTAATTAGGTCATAGGGGTGAAGCCTTCATGAATGACATTAGTGCTCTCATTAAAAAGCTCCTCACCTTTTCCTTTTTTTACAAAAGAATTATTTTATTTCACTTAATTTATTTTTTAACTTGACCAGAGAGGGACAGAGTGAGAGATAGAAAGAAAACTAGCTGCCAGGTCCAAGTCTCAAACTGCAATCAATCATGCGGGAGTCCAGTGCCCTTAACCACCACACCGCCTGCCAGCCTCAAGGACACAGTGAGAAGGTGCTATTCATGAATGAGAAAGGGGGGCCCTGCCAGATGCTGAACCTGCTGGCATCTTATCTCAGACTTTCAACTTCTGCAACTGTAAGAAATACATTTCTGTTGTTTACAAGCTACCCACTTATGGTATTTTGTAATAGCAGCCTAAATGAATTAAGACAACCTGAGTTGAAAATTATTCAGAACTGTATATTGACAGGTTACAATGTTGTTTGCACTTCCATTCCCAAGACTAATTCTTTTCTGCCTCACAGCTTAAATCAACATATATTGTAAAAGGATCGTCTGAGCGTGAGCCCTATGGCCGAGTGGTTTAAGGGAGCTGGATCCCACACAGACTACAGTAGTTTGAGCCCTGATCCTGAGGGGGCTGAGAAAACACACCAGATGCATGTGTGTGGGTGCCCCAAATCCTGACAGTGAAGAAATGAAGGAGTCAAGATTGAGGCATGACTACACCCCACTGAGGGTTTTCTCCTGCTTGCTCTCTCTTTCTGTGTCTCTCTGACAAGCACAGAGCTCAGGTCTTTGTCAACGTTTATAAAGTGCACACTGGGTTCCTGAGACTATTCAGTGTTGGAGGACTTGCGTTCTGCTTTTAAAGATCTCATAGTCTTTGGGGGAAAAAAATGGCAAAGTGACATGGAGTGATAAAAGTTAAACTAAGGATTAACTTTGGGACTGATAGCGACCCACAGAAGGACATAATGGAAAGACAGCAGACTCAGGGAAGGCTTTTCCGTGGAGATGATGTTTGAACTGAATACTAAAAAGTGATTTGGGATTAGCAGGAGAAAACGTGTTGGAAAGGAATTCCAGAAGGAGATTGGGAGGTGCTTTCTCTGTCCCTCTTCCTATCTCTCTTTGGTGAGCACACATGCCCTCTGCATATTAAAAAATAATAAAAGGAAATTAACCACAACAAACCAAAAGGGGTTAATATAAGCAGAAAGTAGGAGGCAAGAAGGAGTTTAGTGTGTGCACAAAGCAACAAGCAGTTTGTAAAGAATCGGAGTATTGAATGTGACAGAGAGTGACTTCAGATGAGGCTGTAGATAAACTGCAGTCACTGTCCATGAAAATCTTCATCCATCTGGGACCAGCAGATGGCATAATGGTTACATCACTGGACTCCTAGGTAGTTGACCATGGTTTGAATCCAAAACCCAAGCCAGGTGCGTTTGTGTGCATAACCCAAGATCCTGAGAGGAGAATGGAGAAGGGATTTTGGTGTGGTCATCCCCTCTGGGTTGTGATTTCTCACTTTCTGTCTCTCTGTCTCCGTCTCTTTGGTGAGCACACATGCCTGATATAAAAAATCTCTCACTAGGGACCAGCAGTTGGCGAAATGGCTATGCCGCTGGACTCCCTTGTAATCTACCATGGTTCGAGTTCAGGACCTGGTGGCTTAAACTCATGCCCGGCGTGGGCATGCATGCCCAAGATCCTGAGAAGAATGAAGGAGAAGGGATTGTGGGTGGCAAGGGAGGGGGGTAGGGGGTGGTGATTCCTAGCTTTTTGTCTCTCTGTCTTTCTGGTGAGCGCACGGGCCCTATAGCAAAAAGAAAACTCTCTTTAAAAAAGAAAAAATTCTTCATTCATCAATCTGTGCATTTATTAAATCACTGTCTGCAGAGCACCAGGTGCCAAATACTTTATCTAGCACTTGGTTTCCTGTCTGTAGCAGCATTCTATAAATTTCAGGTCTTGGCTCAGTTATTACTCCCTCGAGAAGGCCCTTCCTGCCCTGGTATCTAAAATAGCCCCACATGATCACTTTCTTTTGCACTACCCTGTTTTGCGTTCCTTACAGCACTAATCACATGAAATTTGCGCTTTCATTTGCTCATGAGTTAATCTGTCCAGTCCCACTAAAACGGAAGCTTTCGGGGTAGAGACCTGGCCGGCTGCAGGGCTTCAGAGGCTTCTCTTTAGCACCCCAAGGCCCAGAGCATGGGGCACGCCCAGCGCCCTAGGCGACCACGCGTTCCAACTGAGCACGCGCAGAGGGCGGGCTCTCTGGACCCCCGTCCGCGCAGGCCCAGCTCCGCCCGCCCCCTCGCGGCCGAGTTGGAGTAAGACCCGAGTCCCGGCCGCCGTGTTTCTCCCCGGACGCTGCCCTGCACGACTCGCGGGGAAACACAGGCGCCCCGCACTTGCCGGCTTGGCCCCGGGATGGCCCCCAAACCCCCAAACTCCGTGGCGGGGCTCCGCGCAGCCGGCAATCAGAGTTTTCGCAACGGCCAGTACGCCGAGGCCTCCGCGCTCTACGGCCGCGCGCTGCGGATGCTGCAGGCGCGAGGTACCACCCCGCTCCCATGCCTCCTCCGACCCCGGCACCTCTCCCCTACCCCCCCAACCACCACCCGACCTCGCCTTGTCCCTGTCGTCCTGGGGCAGCCCTCTCCCCGCGACCGGCCGTCCCACCAGGCCCTCTCATCACCCTTCCTGCCCCTTCCCGGCCTTAGTGTCCTACGAGAAACTTCCTCGGCCCCCTCCGCCTGCTTTGTAACTACCCAGTTGACCTCGTTCTAATCTCTCAAGATAAAGCGCAACCCTCCTCCCCACCAACTATCCATTGTTTTAAGTTAATATTTGTTGAGCACGCGTTTCATACTGTACAACACGACAGAGAAGGGCTTTTCTCAGATGGGGCATTCTTGTTTGGGGGCGGGGAGGTGTGGATCTTAAGCTCGTAAATCAGTGGACAAGATCTGTCGGATAATGAGGGATAATGAGGCTGCAAGAAGACAAATACAGTGTAGTGGGAAAAGCCGACTGGGGAATTTGAGTGTAGGAAATCAGGGACCACTTCTCTGAAGAAGTGCTATTTGCAGTGATGTCCGCATGAGAAGGAAGAGGCAGCCGACGCACAGTTTAGGATTCAGAGCATCCCAGGTTGAGGGGACTGCAATTAGAACAGCCCCAGACAGAATAAGCGTGGTCAAGCATGGTGCCTTCTAGGGGCTCAGACACCTGTGAGCCCCAGGAGGGTAGTGAGGCTGGTGGTGGGTTGGGTAGGCAGAACTTCATTGTGTAGGTGTTTTAAGCCCTGGGAAGCTACTAATAGTTGTTTGCTTTTAAGTTAATTATATTAATTATTATTATTATTGATTCGACCAGAAAGAGACAGAGAGTGGGAAAGCAAGAAAGCAAACCATCAGGTCTGGGACTTGAACCATAGTCAGCTGTGTGGGAGTTCAGTGCCTTTGCCACCATGCCACCTGCTGGCCCCTGTTGTTGTTTTTGTTTTTTTTTTAACTTTGCTTTGTTTGGGTATAGGGCATATATGCTTGCCAGAGAGAGAGGAAAATGAGAAATCACTCCTCAGAAGGGATGGCCATGCCACAGTCCCTTCCCCTTCAGTCTCCTTGGGATTTAGGGCTCACAGGCACACATACCTGGTGTGATTTTTAAGCCACTGGGCCCAGGACTCAAAGGCCATGTGGGATCCAGCGCCTTAACCCCCACCACCTGCTGGCCCCAGTTTTAAGCAGAGTAGTAACATATTCTTGTCAGTTCTCCTGGCCTCCAGCACACTTCCACCAACCACAGAGCTTTTCCCAAAAATCTTTTTTTAAATGATTTATTTAATTTTTATTTATTATTATTTTTTAATTTGACCAGAAAGAGAAAGTGAGAGCAAGCCACCAGGTCCAGGACTCAAACCTTGGGCAACCATGTGGGAGTATAGCATCTTAACTGCCATACCACCTGCTAGTCCCTACCCCAAATCTCTTATGCAAAGTGCCTTACCCAGGAGCCCCCATTAATTAAAGCCTTGACTTTTTCTTTTATTTTATTTTTGAGAGGCTTTTGCTATAAGGTACGTTCACTTGCCAGAAAGACAGAGAGAGACAGAAAGCGAGAAATCACCCTCCAGTGGGGATGGCCACGCTGCAATCCCTTCTCCTCCATTCTCCTCTCGGGATCTTGGGCACACACGCACACGCACCCAGTGTGAGTTTAAGCCACTGGGTCTGGGACTCGAACCATAGTCAACTACATGGGAGTGCAGCAACATAGCCATTACACTAACTGCTGGTCTCAAAGCCTTGACTTTTTTAACATTTTTTTATTTTGGAGAGATTTTTGCTATAGGGCGCATGTGTTCACCAGCCAGACAGAGAGAGACAGAGAGAGACAGAAAGCGAGAAATCACCCCCCAGGGGTATGGCCACTCCGCAATCCCTTCTCCTCCATTCTCCTCTCGGGATCTTGGGCACGCACGCACACGTGCCTGGCGTGAGTTTAAGCCACCGGGTCCGGGGCTCGAACCACGGTCAACTATGTGGGAGTTCAGCGACATAGCCATTACGCTAACTACTGGTCCCAAAGCCTTGACTTTTTTTTAAAGAATTGTTTTATTTAATCTTATTTATTAATATTATTATTATTATTTAATTTGACCAGAGAGATAAAGAAAATGAGACAACAATCCTCCAGATCTGGGACTCGAACCGTGGTCAGTCCAGTGTACATAACCATCATGCCACCTGCCGGCCCCACCCTTGACTTTGGAAAGGACCCGTGAATCCCATTTTCTGTGAACCCCTGCATAGGACCTAGTTCCTTTTGCTTTCCTTCTCTTTTTCTCGCCTAGCGTTTGCTGAGTGTTTTACTGTGTGGTAGACATCAGACACTTGTCGCTCATCTTCATTGTGGCTCTGGGTAAGGCTTTTATAGATGAAACCCAGAAGAGTTAGTTGCCTACTCCAGGGTTACACAATGGAAACCAGTCAGAACCAGGATTTGAATGTGGGTTTGTCTGGTGGTTAATTTTTTTTTTTTTTTTTTAAAGAAAGTTTTACTGTAGGGCACATGCACATGCCACAGAGACAGAGAGACAGAAGGTGAGAAGTCACCCCCCAAAGAGGTGGCCACACCACACCCCCTTCTCTCCCACTTTCCTCTTGGAATTTTGAGCACACACACACACACACACACACACACACACGCTCGGCATGAGGTTTAAGCCACTGCATGTGAAACTGAAACCATGATAGAATACATGGGAGTCCAGAGACATAACCATTACACCATCTGCTGGCCCCAGGTTTTTTAAATTTTTAATTATTTTACTAGACTTCTCCCCAGATCTCCAAATTCCAGTCTCTACTCTTTGACCTTTTTACAGCTTCAAGCCACTCTTTTGTCCCCCTCTCTTTTTCTGGAAAACCTCTTTCTTTTTTTTTTTTTTTTTTTTTTTCTTTTGGAGAGGTTTTTGCTATAGGGCACGTGCACTCACCAGAAAGACAGAGACAGAGAGACAGAAAGCGAGAAATCACCCCCCAAGGGGATGGTCACACAGCAAACCATTCTCCTCTCGGGATCTTGGGCATGCATGCACGCGTGCCCAGTGTGAGTTTAAGCCAGCAGGTCCAGGACTCGAACCAGGCTGACTACATGGGAGTCCAGCAATGTAGCCATTACGCTATCTGCTGGACCCTGGACAGTCCCCTTCTAGGCCATCAGCTCCCTTTGATGGAGTTGTTGAGGAATCTAAAGTACTGATGTTTCTGCCTTTTTCCCATTCCAGCTGGCCTGGAAGAGCTTATGCTATCATGTGGGTTTACTCTGGGCTCCTACAAAACCTGGCCTGGGGTCTAGAGTTAGCAGGGACTGGAGTTGAGTTCTGACCTTGCTGCCGGCTTCTGGATACCTTGTGGGCAAGTCTCTTGATTTCTCTGACCAACTTTCTTGATCTTGAAAGGAGCACAGGGCACAGCCTCACACAGTTACCCTCCCTGAGAGGCCACAGAGTGATACCTTCACGTGGTCGGTGAGCACATATGATCAGAGGGGTCAAATGACTTGTGCAGGAGTGTGGGCTGGATTGTTGGTTCAGATGCCCTTTCCCCACTCTTTTGCTGTTTCTGAGCAGCTGGGCTCTGGGGACTGGGATGGATTACAAGTTTTAAGTAATTGCATTTGCTCCTTAAGAGAAAGGACATAGTTTTGTTTATCACTGTATTTTCTGTTTCAGGGCCTGGCAAAATAAGAAAGAAAAAGAGCTATTAATTAATTAGGTTTGTTATTGTTGGTGTGGGATGAAAGACATCAAATATCAACATGTAACATGGTACTTGAAAAAAGCTCTTTGTAGGAGGATAAGCAAAATGATACCCCACTGGGGGCCAGCAGATGGTGTCATAGTTAAGTTGCTGGACTCCCACATGGCCAACCATGGTTTGAGTCCCAGATCTTGAGACTTGAAACTCATGCCAGGCACCGGTGCATATATGCCCAAGATCCCAGGAGGAGAATGAAGGAGAAGGGATTGTGACATGGCCATTCCCCCTCGGGTGATTTCTCACTTTTCTTTTTTCTGTCTCTTTTTTTTGAAGAGGTTTTTGCTATAGGGCATGTGCGCTCGTCAGACAGAGAGAGACAGAGAGACAGAAAGCAAGAAATCACCGCCCTGGGGGATGGCCAAGCCTCAATCCCTTCTCCTCCATTCTCCTCTCGGGATCTTGGGCATGCACGCACACACGCCTGGTGTGAGTTTTTTTGTTGTGTTTTGTTTTGTTTTTTGGAGAGGTTTTTGCTATAGGGCGCGTGCGCTCTCCAGACAGAGAAATAGAGAGACTCCAGACAGACAGAGAAATAGACAGAAAGCGAGAAATCACCCCCCAAGGGGTATGGCCACGCCGCAATCCCTTCTCCTCCATTCTCCTCTCGGGATCTTGGGCATGCAAGCACACACGCCCGGCATGAGTTTAAGCCACCGGGTCCGGGACTTGAACCGCGGTCGACTACATGGGAGTCCAGCGACATAGCCATTACGCTAACTGCTGGTCCCATGTCTCTCTCTTTTTAAAAAAAGAATTATTTTATTTCATTTATTATTATTATTTGTTCAGTTTGACCAGAGATAGAGAGAAAGGGAAAGTAGGAAAGCAAGCCTCCAGGTCCAGGACTCTAACTGTGGTCAGCCATGTGGGAGTCCAGCACCCCACTACCACACCACCTGCCAGCCCCTCTCTTTCTCTGTCCCTTTTACTGGTGAGCATATGCACCCAATGGCAAAAACCTCTAAAAGGAAAAAGAAAAAAAAAAAAAAAGATACCCCTTTGGAAAAGCTTCAACAGAAATAAATTGATACTGTCTTTTACCTGTGAATACATGCATAATAAAAACAGAGAAACATGCTTGAAGATATTTGTTATACACCAGCCTCAGGATTTTACTAGCTTTGGTGTTGGGTTGGTGGGGGGAGCACAAGAAAGAGGATGGGATCAGTGGACCTTTCCCCATATCAAAATTAAAAAGGTGGCCCCTGTAGTGCAGTGGTTAAGGGCTGTGCAGAGAGAACTGGATCCCACATGGCTGACTGCGGTTTGAATCCCATTGAAAAACACACTGGGCATGTATGTATGTGTGCTCGAATCTGGACAGGTTTCTCCCTATCTCTGTTTCTCTCTGGTGCACGTGTACCCTCTGGCAAAACAAAACAAATAAATGGAAAATAAAATTCAGGGTGGCCACAGTGAAGGTCTTGAACATCTGCAGTTCCTGAGGGTCAGGACAGCCTTTAGAGAAATGGCTCTTCTCCCCATTGGCAGCTGAGTGCGTCTGCCTCCCACCCCTGGTTAAGTTCTCCGTAGTCCCTCAGACCAGCTCACTTTCCTGGCAAAGTCCTCTGACATGGCCAGCTGAAACGACTCTGTTTTTTCATATCCCTACAATTCTTGATCAGTTTATTTTTCATGTGTTCTTTTCCTTTATTTTTTTTCTTTACTGGGTTTACATGCTTTTGGTAATAGAAGGAATACACACACACCTCCAGGTACTTATAGCATGGATTTCTTTTTCTTTTTTTTTTCTTTTTTTTTTTTTTTTTTTTGAGAGATTTTTTTTCTGTAGGGCACATGCACTTGCCCAAGAGACAGAGAGACAGAAAGCGAGAAATCACCCCCCAGAGTGTCTGGCCTTGCCACAATCCCATCTCTTCCACTCTCCTCTCGAGATTTTGAGCTCACACACACACACGTCCTGGGTGAGTTTTAAGCCACTGGGTGTGGACTCTAACCCTGATCGACTACATGGGAGTCCAATGATGTAACCATTACGCCATCTGCTGGTCCCAAGCATGGATTTCTTTTGAGGTAGGAGCCAGTCATTGTTTCTTTTGCCTGGTGCTGAGTTCAGTGCTGAAGTGAACAAGAAGATGCCTAGTTCCCTGTGAATGGCAGGATGCTCAGTGCCCTCGGTCTCATGTGAGAATGACAAACATGCTGGCCCGTGGGGCTGACAAGCCTGAACAGGTTACAGCCTTCTCTGTGGCCCTCCCCAAAGCCCAGAGAGCTCCAGGCGTGAAATGCATCAGGTGTGCTGAGGCACCCACTCCCCTGAGATCATTGAAGATCTTCTCCCTCTTTCTGTCTCCACTTGGGCAGGTTCTTCAGACCCCGAGGAAGAAAGTGTTCTCTATTCCAACCGAGCAGCTTGCCACCTGAAGGACGGAAACTGCACAGACTGCATCGAAGACTGCACTTCGTAAGTGGCCGGGGAGACTTCGGGGCGCCTAGGTCTCAGAAGACGAGACTGGGTTTTTTTGGTTTGTTTCTTTTTTGGAAAGATCCCAATACATTTGTGACAGATATTAGAAAGTGTCACTGTCACCGGGTCACTCACAATAGGAGACTCTGCTTGGTCCTCTTGGCCCCTGACTTGTGTCTTTGGGGTGTCGGCTCTGCTGCTGGTGAAGGAGTAACAAGCAGTTAGAGGGAGGTTAAAGTCATCGTCATACTTGGGACCTGGGGATGACAGAGGGTTGCAGGCCCATGACTGGCTCGCCTGGTGTTTTCCTGGGTTGTGTGTGTACGTGCGCACGTGTGCTGGGGCAGAGGTGGGGGGTAAGGGAAGAAGGCAAGATAGTGGTTAGTACGTTGTCTTAAAAGAAGCAGAGAGAAAGTGGTATCCCTCAATGGGCAATTTCCCACACTTCTTCCTTCTCCGAGCCAGTCTAATATCGCTGCCTGTGGTCATTGCTAAGCTAGCACACAAACCCTAAATACGTTCTCAGATCTGATGTCCTGTGAAAGGGCCTTCAGTCTGTGCCTGGGCGGTAGATGGGAGAGGATAGGGCAGGTGGGTATGCTCCTGGAGCCTGTGCTGGATCATTTGTACAAGCCCCGTGCTCAGGTTCCTTCTTCAAGTGCTCACCACCTCTCTGTAGGGTAAATTTACCATCCTGCCCAGGCCAGAGTGAGCTGCTGCAGGTTGGGGTGGTGCTGGGATCCCATGGTGAGTGACTGAGGTGGCATTCTAATGCTGTCTCATCTAACTCCAAAGCCTGTTTGTTACTTCACCTGGACCACAACTCTAAAGCCTCATAGTAGCAATGAAGCCCTAAGGTACTTGTTCTGGATGTTGAGGGGACTGAATCTGTGAATGCTGATGCAGATGCTCACAGATTTCGCTTTGTTAGTGTGGTCCCTTCTGACTTCAGTCTAAGCCGAAGAGCCCGCTTTCCACAGTTTGACCTTTTTAGCAGTGTCTCCCTGCCAGAATGACCTCTCGTACTAAGTGTTGCAGGAAGAGACCGTGCAGGAGCCTTGGTGGCTCATCAGCCAGGTGACATTTTTGCCTCCCGTTCTAGAGCCCTGGCCTTGGTTCCCTTCAGCATCAAGCCCCTGCTACGGCGAGCCTCTGCCTATGAGGCTCTGGAGAAGTATTCCCTGGCCTACGTCGACTATAAGACTGTGCTGCAGATTGACAGCAGCTTGACGTCAGCCCTGGAAGGCGTCAACAGGTGAGCCCAGTTCCCTGGGCCTTTGTGAGTGATGTATGCTGAGTGATGTGCTCGGTGCTGGAGACCAGTTAGCAGAATGGGAATGGTCACCAAGTGGTATGTTAAGCTGCAATCTGAAGAACTGGGAGGAGTCAATGGGGCCTAGGAGGTGGGGATGGGAAGTGGAGATCGTCCTGGGTAGAGGACAAGGCTTATGCAAAGGCTTGAACCTAGGGCCAGGAGGGAATGTGAGCCATGGTAAAGCTGGAGAGGAGGGAATGGACCAGATCTCACAGGCCAGGTTGGTCCAGGGATTTCAGAACCACTGAAATGTAGTATTTGAGAATGACATGGTAAGGTTTACACTTTTTTAAAAATTTTATTTATTATTATTTTTAATTTGCTATAGAACAAGTGCATTCATCAGAGAGACACAGAGAGAGAGGGGGAAAGCGAGAAAGCAAGCTGCCATTCCAGAACGTGAACCATGGTCGGCCATGTGGGAGTCCAGCACTTTAACCACTGTGCCACCTGCTCCTCTGTAAGGTTTACACTTTAAAAAAAAAAAAGTCTGAGCATTAATCAGATGTCAGGCATTCTCATGGCTTTGTGTCAGATTCACTAAGAATGTATAAAATAATTAAAACGTAGGATCCCGTCATACTTGCAGGGGAGTGTGTAGTGTTGGGAGCAAGGTCTCAATCCCCTTAGCAAGCAGGAGAACAGCACTTTGAAGTTAACAGAATGTGACTTAGCTCGAGGGAAGGAGGGTCACGTGACTTATCTGAGAAGGCGTTCGTGGGTGCCAGACTCCTGTTCCTTCATTGCAGTGGGTTGGAGGGTACCAGGAGACGGTTCAGACCAGTCACCATAAGTCAGGCTCTTCTGAAAGGGCCTCCCCCGCTTGGGTGTGTGAAAGAACAAGTATTTTCTCAACCCAGCTGGAAACCTCGCTGCAATCCTGCCTGTTTTCCAGAATGACCAGAGCGCTCATGGACTCGCTCGGGCCTGAGTGGCGCCGGAAGTTGCCCTCCATCCCCTTGGTGCCTGTTTCAGCTCAGAAGCGGTGGGATCCTTTGCCTTCGGAGAACCACAAAGAGACAGCTAAAAGCAAGTCCAAAGAAACCGTTCCTTCAAAGAACAGAGGTGAGCTGCAGCTCCCTGCCCAGATTCTGACAGCCTCCTGGCAGCCACTTCCTTTAGAGTAGTTTGTAATAGCTGACTATAAAGTCATCTTACAAAGTGAAAACCAGAAGAAAACAAAAAAGTCTTAACTACTCAGTGATGCTTTCCTTAACTGTACGTGAGAGTGATGATGAGACGGGCCTCCCAGCTGTAAGGAGTGAATGGTATAAGGCAGGTGAAAGTCCCAGGCTGGCCCGTAGGTCGGTTTCCAGGATTAGTACCCTTCTCTCTCCTCTGGAATGTGTCACCTAGGATATTTGGGTTAATTCAACATGGTAAAATAACAGACTTTTATTAGTTCATATAACTGAACAGTCCAGAGAGAGTTCAGGTAACAGTCCAGAGTTCAGGCAAGGTGTGCTTCAGCCGTTCTCTGCGTTGTCGAACTCTGACTCCGTTTCTCCCAGCTCTCTTCTCTGTCGTGTCAGCTTTGTCTCTAAGCAGGCTCCCCTCCTGCTAGTAAAATGGCAGCAGCAGTTCCTGGCCTCACATTCCTCTTAACCTGGAAGAAGAAAGATTTTTTTTTTTTTTTTAATTTCTTTTTTCTGATAGCTCACTAAGAAGAAAAGGTTTTCCCCCTCAGTTCTGGCTCACATTATCTCGATCTCTCCTGGCCTATTTGGTTATAGGCCATTCCTTGAACTCTCCACTGTGACCAGGGCATGAGCTCTGTGATTAGCTCACCCGAACCATGTGCCCCATCTCCTTAGCTAGAGGGCTATGCTTCTTCCCCTGGGGCACATACACTGTGTGAATCCTCGGGGAAAGATGAAAAGGGGAGAGCAAGCCCAGCAGCCCAGACCAGGAGACTGTCCACCTGACATGAACAGGCCGATTGTCAGGCAGGGCCTCTCTAGGGAGCTCTTTGAATGTTCCAGGAAATTGTCCCAACCGAGCAGGCTGGTGAGTGAGGTTCGGGAGACAGGAGGGGTCAGGGCCGGAGCACTGCCACACGTCAGTTACTGTTAGGGGTGAACAGCGGGCAGGAGTTACTCCCCTTTCCAAGAGGACACCTCTGGCCACCACTGGTTTGTGGCAGCCTGGGAAGTATCCCTCATTCTTTCCTAGAATGAAAATGTGCAGTGCTAATGGACGAGATGGGTTCAGTGCACCCACTGTCCGTTTTATTCTGTCAGAGTGGCTGAGACACACGTGTTCCCGGCCCTGTGCTAAGCACTGAGACAGAGAAGATGAGCAGAATTGACCCTCAGGAAGCTCTCAGTCTAATGAGACTGAGAAACATAAGAAAGCAGTTTTAAAATACAGGGAGATAAAGATGTACAATTGAATGTAAACCAGGAGTCACAATTAAAAGAAAAATGGATAAAAATGAAACTGAAGACAAGAAGAGCAAGTACTTTAGAGGCTTTAGTGTGGGGGGAGTTCAAAATAAGAAGCGGCTGAAGCACGTTGGGGAGTCAGGGAGAGGCGTGCAGAGGAGGTAGCAGTAGAGGATCTGGAGCTGGACTTGAAGGATGAGGTCACCAGGTGGGCAGGGAGCGGGGAGAGGATTCCTGGCAGAGACAGCGGAGCGCATTGCAGGATGAAAGCGCACGGGAAGGGCAGCAGCATTGTGTTACAGAGCGGAAGCTGTGCACATAATTCAGCCACTGCTGCTTCTAGAGAAACGTGTGCATATGTGCACAGGAGAGGTGTACAGGGATGCTCAGAGCAGAGTGTTCATAATAGCAAAAAACGACACTGGAAATAACCCAGGTCTCTGTGAGCAGGAGAACGGGTCAGTCGTTTGTGGTTGCAACATTGAAAATGAACCAGCCTCAGGCATACCTGTCAGTGTGGATGAATCGCAGGACTGTAATGTTGAGGGGGAAAAAGAAAACTAAGTCATGAAAGAATATGTAGATAAATCATTAAAAAAAATAATAATAAATTTAAAAAACACAGGGGAAGAACAGAATTGGGTGGATTGATTTGGGGAAGCCCCCGCATGACTTCAGAGGCCCTCATCATGTTCTGTTTCTTAAGCTAGGGGATGAGTCCTGGGTGTTAGTTTCATTCCTATAACCTTATCCTTGTCATAAATATTCAACACTTGATAGTTTTTAAAAATTAAAAAAGCAGGTGATGTGGAGCCAAGCCTGGAACACAATTGGGGCCAACCAGTGAAAGGCCCGAACACCAAGTTGAACAGCTTGGATTTTCCCTTGTTCTCTCTTTTCACTCTCTCCTCTCTCCCTGAAGGCTGGAGCAGAACCACATGTGAGGGGGCATCTCACAGGCTTATCCCAGAACAGTTGAGGAATAACAGGCCCTTCTGCCCTTTTTCTGAAAGCCCTAAAGTCACAGCCTTTCTTTACTATCTCATGTAGTCTCAGGTTGACCCTAAAAATAGCCCTGTCTAGAGTAAATACTGCCCATTGTATTGGTGAGGAGATTGAGGTCTAGAAGGTAGGCAGCTCACACACGGTCTTCCAGGGACCCAATGACAAGACCGGGGATGCTTTTTATCATGTGTGTTACGTGCGTGTGTAAGTATGTTTATATGAGGAGTCCCCAACCTCCTCTGAATGAAAAACTTTCCATTTCCCAGAAGCTGTAACTTGGGAAAAGTCGTTCACCAGGAAGGGTCATGTGCAACAGCACAGGAGCGCTGTGGGGGAGTGGACAGCGCGGGAGAGACAGTGCTGAAGAGAGCTTGCTGATCTCAGTTGGGTACCTGCTCCATGGTTTTTTCCTCTTCTGAATTTGTATCTAGTGCCTTCTGCTGGGGATGTGGAGAGAGCCAAAGTTCTGAAGGAAGAAGGCAATGAGCTTGTAAAGAAGGGAAACCATAAGAAAGCTATTGAGAAGTACAGTGAAAGCCTCTTGTTTAATAACTTGGAATCTGCCACGTACAGCAACAGGTATATCGGCACAGCTGCTGGCCTGGGGGATTTCAGGACCTCGGATGTTTCATTCCATAATCTTCTCTTGGACTGTGGTGGGCTCTTCATCCCTAGCATTTGGTCGCCCCAAAATATGCATTCACACTGTGAGCTGGGCTTTGCTCTCTTAAAGGAGTAGAAACCAAGGGATGCCAGAGGGTAGCCTGGGCTTCATTAGCCCTCTCCCTGGAATTTTTATTAACCATAGAAAATATGCATACACTGTAAGTAAAGCACTGTGCTTGCTTTTACTTATAATGTAAGTATGCAAACAAAACCTGACCCCCGTGGTTAGCCTCTCCACCCTCCTGATCCCACCCCATGGCTTCTCTAAGACCCTCCAGTTAGAAATGTCAGCACCATCTTTGTCTGGGTGTGCAGTAACTACTGCCTGGCCTGATAGCAGAAAGGAGGGATGCAGTCTAGCCTAGAGGTTAGACCTAGGGCCTGTGGAAGGCCTGGTGCCAGCAGGTGCTGGCAATAACCACTGACAGAGCTGAGCTTGGGAGCCAGGGCACTGTCCTGTCAGTGTGTGCAAGTCACTGCTCAGCAGCAGTGCTCAGAGCTGTAGGTGGTAAGTGGGCTCCCTGTTTTAAAGTTGAGAAAAATCTAAGCTCAGAGAAGGAAGGGTTTTGCCTAAGCCCACCCCGCCACTAAATAGTGGTTCCAGAATTAGAATCTGGCTCCAGTGACATCTCTCCGTTAGTTTTACTGCAGAAGCTGAAACATTCAGCAAGGGACCATGTCTGATCCAAGTGTTTATTAGCAATGTTATAGATCTGTTTCTCCTTTCCGACCAGCTACACATATCATTCTCCAGGTCAGAAATCTCGAATCTAGTATAGGCTCACTGTTCCTTTTTCAGAACTTTTGGGATAAAGTGGGTTTCAGATTTTAATAAGGTAATATATTGTGTTTACTGAATTATATAATACCCCAGGAGGGTCTGGGACAGTTTACTGATGTTCATTGTTGGTATTCCTGCAGTGAAATGTGAATATTCCATGGTCACATGGGGTGGGATAAAGAAACTAAATAGTCTCATGTCAGTTCAGGTCAGGTTTTGCTGCCAGACGAGTTGAAAAGCGAATGTTTAGTTTTAAAGCTTGGGTTCTGGGATTTTGGACCTGTGATTTTACTCACTGATTGGAACAGGGTACCTCAGGGCATACTTGAAAAAGCCTGCTGCCCATTTGTGTGGTGTCTCTCTCAGACTCCTCTGTGGGCTCTGTGGCCTTGCTCAGCACCATATGCTGCCGAACATCGTTGCCCTGTTTTCCTGGATTTTCACCACATCCAGGACAATATTTTATATAAATACTGTTCGTGCAAATGTGCCACACTATCTCAATTATTACTGCTTTATAATATCTTCTAGGGCTGGTCCTCACCTTCTTAATTAGAGCACCCCTGTCCGTTTTTCCATGTTTGCTCTTTTGGCTAAACATTGTCTTAGGATCATTTTGACAAATTCCAAAGAATATCTTGTTGGGCAGCTTTTGATTGTGATTGCATTGAATTTACAAATTTAATTTAGAGCACTGATTACAAAACTGAATTTTCATCCATTGTAGCTGAAATTACACCATCTCCTGGGACATCCTGGGTGTAGGCTTAATGCCTCACCTGTGCATATCATCTGTAGGAATCCAGGTCTAGAAACCGGCTTACTTCAGTTACTCTATGTAGGTGAGACCTGACTGCTCGGCACCACTCAGTACCAATACCTACAACTTGCCAGGCCCAGAATGGCCCTCTCATTTAGTACTCACAAGAGTTCTTCAAGTTAGATCATCAGGCTGTTTTTACCTGAACAGGCTCAGAAAGATGAATGAATGAACACAAAGTTAAACTACTGATGTCACAGCCCTGGGATTTGTGCCAGGTCTTTGTGATGCCAAAGCTTATGTTTCTTTTCACCCACTCATGTTATCTCCCAGACTCCTTTGTAATTAAAACCCTTCTGACCAGATGCAGAATCATTTCTGCTTACCAAAATCCAAGGGTGTTTATTTTATAAGCCAAAGTTACGCATCTTTGTCACCTTAAATACAATCTTTAGAAGTAATACATAATCATCATATAGAATCATATATAACCACTCGTGACATTTATTTTCTGGAATCTCTATATGTGCACAGTGTTAATATTGTGGTTCCTCTACTTGCCAAAATCTTGGCTGGTTTTTTACATTGGCAGAGTCCATTTAGGAGGAAACTTAGTTTCTTTCTTTTAGATTTTTGTCAGAGTGTTTACGCTTGCTGGGAAGAGACAGAGAGAGGGGAAAAGTGAAGACCATTCCCCCAGGGAATGATCATCCTGCAGTCCCTTCTCCATTCCCTTCTTGGGATTTTGGGCATGCACACACTTGGGCCAGCATGATTTTTTTAAACCACCAGGTTCAGGATTCGAACCACCACCGGCTATGTGGGAATCTAGCACCTTAACCACCATGCTACCTGTTGGCCCTGAAAACTTAGTTTTTTTAGACTTTCTGTTCAAAGTTTACATCAGAGACCATCATTCTGAAGATCATCTTAGTGACCTTCCACAACCATTTTATTTTGCTCATAATTTCAGAGTCAGGAATTTGAGAAGGGCAGTTTTCATCTGGGGTCTTGTTCAGGGTTAACAAGATGGTAGCGAGGGCCAGAGTCATCTGCAAGCTTCTTGGTGCATATCTGGCATCCAGGCAGGGAAGACTCAGATGGCTGGGGATGGACCTGCTAGAGCGCATGCTGGCACCTTTTTCACATGTGTGGCTTGGGCTTCCTCTTAACATGGTGGCCTGGGAGTAGCTGGCTTTTTACCTGGTAGCTCAAGGCTCCAAGAGTGAGTGTTCCTGCAGACCGAGGTGGGAGCTCTAAGGCCTATTCAGACTCAGCCTTAGAATCCTGTCACTTCTCTGTACTCTGTCAGCCAGAGCAGGTAGTCAAATCCTGCTCCCAAAGGAAGAGACCGAATACCCTCTGCCTCTCAATGGGAAGAGTGCCATAGAACCTGTGCCTGTCTTTAAATTGCTACAGGAAGGTTTTTCTTTTTTAATTTATAAATTCTATGCAATCAGAAAACAATAGAATTTTTTTCTTTTTAATTTATAATAATGTTTCCATATTTGTCAGGAAGAAATGAGAATTTAGTGTATGGGAGTGTGAGGAAGTGAGGGATTAGTCAACAAATGGTATTGGGTTGGTTGGGTAACAGTTAAAAATAAACCCAATTCCTACCTCATTCCTAATTTTAAAATGTATCTTAGGTAGATAACAGTTTCAGATATAAAACATGAAACCATTAAGTTCTAAAAAACACATGGATTAATTATCTTGCAGTGGAGGCAGTATATCTTTTTCCTAAGTTGCTGGAGGGCCCATGCGCTCACCAGAGACAGACAGACAGAGAGAGAGAGAAAGAGGGAGAAGGCACCCCACAGTGGGACATGGTCATACTATAATCCCTTCTTCCTTTCTCCAGCCTGTCTGGATTTGGGGCATGCGCTCACACACACTGGGAGTGTTTTTCAAGCCACCCAGGATTTGAACCATGGTTGGTCTTGTGCAGTTTGGCTTCCTTAACCACTAGGCTAAAGAGCATGCCCAGCATGTTTGGTTTTGGGTTTTTTTGTTTGTTTGTTTGTTTATTTTTTAGAGAAAGATTTTTGCTAGAGGGTGCATGTGCTTGCTAGAGAGATAGAGAGGCAGAAAGTGGGAAATCACCTTCACCCCCAGGGAGAGGGCCATGCCACAGTCTCTTCTCCTCCATTCTTCTCTTGGGATTTTGGGCATGCATGCACATGTACCCAGCATAGCTCAAACTTCAGTCAACTGTGGGAGTCCAGTGACATAACCATTATGCCATCTGCTGGTCCCAGGATGGTATTCTCATGTGGGGAGAAGACTCATAGAAGTCATTAAAGGGAAAGTTGGATAAATTTAATTTCATAATTTTATAAGATTAAAAAATCTTATGTAAAGGTGTTTAGCTTTATCCATTTTTAATTTTCTAAAGAGTTTGTGCATTCACCAGAGTGAGAGGAAGTGAGAAAGCAACCCCATGGGGAATCATCACTTTGTAGTTCCTTTCCCATTTCTCCTTTTGGGAGTGTCTTTTTCAGGTCATCAGGTCTGGCACTCAGACTGCACAGTTAGCCATGTGGGATCCAGCCACCTTAACCACCACTCCACTGGCTGGCCCTGAGGTTCATTCATTCATTTATTTATTTATTTTGGGGATATTTTTGCTATAGGGTATGTGTACTCACCAGAGAGACAGAGAGACAGAAAGCAAGACATTACCCTCCAGGGAATGGCCATGCCAAAATCCCTTCTCCCCATTCTCCTCTTGGGATCTTGGCCACAAATGCACATGCACCCAGTATGAGTTTTTAGTCGCTGGGTCTGGGACTCGAACTGTGGTCAACTATGTGAGAGTCCAGCAATGTAATCATTATGCTATCTGCTGATCTAAGAACTTCATCCATTTTTAAGGAACTGAATTAAAACAGTAATACCATTTTCTTCCATATTGGCAGAAATTAAAGTTTGAGACTCAGGAGTGGTAAAGTTGTAGGAAAAATAGGCTCTTTCAGTAACTGTTTTGGGGCCAGCCTGTGGCATTGTTAAGGCTGGAGCCCACACGGCCAACCTTGCAATGCGAGGCCAGGACCCAGAGGCTTGAGAAACATGGTAGGCACATGCATGGCCAAAATCCCAAAAGGAGGGAGACATGGAGAAGATGGATTGCAGTGTAACTGGTCTCGTGGGAGATTTATTTTTGCTTTCACTATGTCTCTGGTGAGCACAATGCACCCTCTAGCCAATGTAAATAAATCACTTCTTTAGGGTACAGGTTTTCTTTGGGGGAACGTTTCGGCAATAACAAAAATCTGAAATGCACATATCTTTGACACAGCAGTTCCTCCTAGAAGGATGTTCATTGCAGCATGATTCCTTTACAAACTGAAAACAATAAAAAAAAATACCTACTCCTTTCGGTCAAATAAATTATGGTACATCGAACTAAGTGAAAACTTTGCACCTCTGAAAACAGTGAGTGGGATGGATGGACTGACATATGAGCTTCAAGACATCTGACTGTCCTGTTTTTAGTGCCATGTTTTTAGCTTTCTAGCCCTTTGGACAGAAGGGCTAGGCTTGAATGTGGCAAATACAGGCTCTCTTTCCCATAGATAGAGAACATTTTGTTATGTGAAAGTACATGAGTATTTTTCCCCAACATTTTTATCATGAAAATTTTCAAAATGTAGGAGTTAGAAAAATTATACACTGATACCCATACACCTACCATCTAAATTCTGTGTCAGTATTTTGTTACATTTACTTTAGCACTATTTAGCCATCTGTTGATCCATCTTATGATTTTTGATACATTTCAGATAAATTATAGACATCTTCGCATTTCACCCCTAATAGGTCAACATATATGTCATTCATTAGAGTTCGGTACTTACGTGTTTGCTTTCTCTTAAAGTAGGTAAATTTGGGGGCTGGCAGGTGGCATGGTGGTTAAGGGAGCTGGGCTGTCACAAGGTGATGGCAGTTCGAGTCCCGGACCTGGAGGCTTACTTTCTCCCTTTCTCTCTCTCCCTCTGGTCAAATTAAATTAAAGTTAAATAAAATAATTTATTTTTTTTAAAAGGAGGGGGGTGACAGGTGGTGTGGTGGTCGCTGACTGTGGTTTGAATCCTGGACCTGGTGGCTTGATTTCTCACTTTCTTTCTTGCTCTCGCTCTGTCCCTCTCTGGTCAAATTAAAATAAATAAATAAAGTTAAATAAAGTAATAAAAAAAATTTAAAGGAAAAAAAGGCAGTTAAGTTTGGGGGCCAGCAGGTGGTACAGCAGTTGGGATGCCGAACTCCCACACATGGCCAACGTCAGTTCAGGTTCCGGACCTGGCAGCTTGCTTCCTTACTTTCTCTTTCTCTCCCTCTCACTGTGTCTCTCTCGGGTCAAACTGAAATAATAACAACAAATAAAATAATTCTTTGGAAAAAAATAAGTTTTTCATCTTTAAAGGGAAGATTTCAGGAAGCTGTTCTGTGTTCAAAAGAGCATGGTACAGAAAGGTGACACAGAGTGACAGAACTAAATGAGGTCAAGATCTGCAGTCATGCAGACACACAGGTTGAATTCAGGACCTCAAAACTAACAGTACCTTGTGCAAGTCCCATCACCCCTCAGAGCCAATATTTTTCATCTGTAAAAAAGAGCTAGGATTGTAGGGACCAGCAGTTGGCATAATGGCTGTGTCGCTGGACTCCCATGTAGTTGACCGCGATTCGAGTCACAGACCTGGTGGCTTAGACTCACACTGGGCATGTATGTGTGCATGCCCAAGATCCTGAGAGGAGAAGGGATTGTGGTGTGGCCATCCCCCCTGAGCGGTTATTTCTTGCTTTCTGTCTCTTTCTGGCAAGCACACGCACTCTATAGCAAAAACAAGCTAGGATTGTGGTGAGGATCTGAGGAGATACAAAGTCACCAGCACAGAGTAGTTGGTCAGCGACTGAGATTACTTCGCAGACTACCTCCCAGCCTGCAGGTGGCCATGAGCAGTGACTGACGTCTCCGACCTGGTCTTTGCCCTCAGAGCGCTGTGCTATTTGGTCCTGAAGCAGTACAGGGAGGCAGTGAAGGACTGCACAGAAGCCCTCCGGCTCGATGGAAAGAACGTGAAGGCGTTTTACAGACGGGCCCAGGCCTACAAGGCACTCAAGGTAAAGAGGTCCTGGCAAAAGCACCGGCGTCCTCCACACATTTATGCCAGTGAGGGCCCTTCCCGAGAAGAGTTTGTATCTGCTACGTTGTCCTCCCAGGTCCCCAGGATGGCTCAGGGCAGGCCAACGGCAGCCTTGGCAGCTGTCCCCACCCCAGCTGGATCCACCTCAGTCAGGCCCCTTCCCCTCACTCTTCTCCTCTCTTCTATTAGGACTATAAGTCCAGCTTGGCAGACATCAGCAGCCTCCTGCAGATTGAGCCCAGGAACGGCCCTGCACAGAAGTTGCGGCAGGAAGTTAACCAGAACCTAAACTAAAAACCCAGCAAGGCCACAGGTAAACCTCTGCCCAACCGTACCCAGAGAAGCCGCCTCTCCCTCTTCTGAAACCCAGCATGCCCCAGAGTGAACTCGAAGCACCCTTCTTAGAGGTGATGACCTCCCACCCCCTAAGAGGCTTTGCTTGTTCAAATTAAGCTCAGCGTAGTCAAACACAAACACCATTGTTTCACCAGGAAGGGCTCCTGTGAGAGCTGAAGTGTGACGCTGAAGCCCTGTCCCTGTTCCCCTGCAGACTCCCAGCGGATCTCATCAATGGCCTCCTCACAAAGCATTTGGCTGGGTCCCGTCCCTGGATGCTCCAGATTGAATCTCGCCCTGTAGCTTCATCAGCCCCCATGTCTCAGTGCAGTCCTGAACAGCTGAGCTCCAGGATAAAGGGCATGCTGCAAACCCCGGCCCACCTTCCCCGCAAGCGGCCCATGGAGCAGGTTCTCTAGGGCCACAGTCTCCTGTGTGCAGCTGCTGTCCCCACCCTGTCCTGGTGCAGTCTCTGTTTCTGAGCCCCAGTGCCTTTTGTCGGGCTCTCCTCTGGTGGGAAGGCAGAGTCCTGGCCCAGGAGGGCCCCGTCTGTGGCCCTGTGCTGCTGCCTTCTGCATGGAGGCACCCGAGCTGTCCTCCTCCAGGTGAGATGGGAAGAGGCTTCCTTGAGGTCAGTGTCCTTCCTCTCTGGGCAGGCACTTGCCTTTTTGCCCCAAGAGTGGCCTTGTACAGGTTTCCTAGTTCTCTGTAATATGTTGAAGTTCATTTGAATTGACGATGTTGAACTGTGTTTGAGCTATTGCATTAAAAGGCTTTCTTCTACATAAATGCATGTTGCGCTCCTTTATGGGCTTTTCGGCTTCGGGCCTGCAACTTCATAATGATAGTGATAAATAGTGTCTGCATGGGTCAGGCATGGTCTACAGTGCTAGGGTGACACCAGTGAACAGACGCGCTCCCTGCCCTCAGAGGGCTGACCATCTAGGGGGAAGGCGTGAGGGCGATCAGCCAACCACGCAGGGCAAAAGTACAGCTGGCCTCAGCGCTGTGAGGGGTTGGCAGACAGTGCTCCACCTGCCCAAACGGGGAGACGACGAAGAGGAGGGCAAAGGGTTCTTGAGCAGGTAAAGCTTGACCTGAGTTCACAGGAAGTTAACAAGGGGGCGGGGGCGGGGGGAAGCCATGTGTAGGAAACAGACAGCAGCACAGGTCAAAGCCCAAGTAGGGAGGACGGGCCACAAAACACGGGATGGGCGAGGCTGAGTGCTTTAGGATCCAGCCAGGGTTAAGGGCTGCCTCCCTTCCTGGCTGTGTCCTAAACTGTTTTCACGGCATTGAAGCAGGAGTTCTGCTATTCCACAGAGCAGACAAAGGGTTTTTGTCATCCCTGTGCCCCTTTGCAAACAGTGCCAACACATCCAACCATTCAGCCAGCACCTGCTGTCAACCTCTGAAGGGGCGTGTTTGCTGTGTAAGCAATCACAGACTCCAGGTCGAAATGGATTATGGAGTCAAAAACAGATGCCACAGGTGTGGCCAGGGGCCATTTCAAAGTCTGAAGCTACCTCCCCCGTGTTTCCCAGAGAGCACGGGGACTTACAGGGGTGGGGGTGGATGCCTGAGGAAGCACCCGTGGGGAATGGAAGAGAGAACTGGGGAAGAAGGAAGGCTGAGTCACGAGCCTGGTTTTAGAAGTGACCTTGAAGTGTAGGGATAGCCCAGAGCCGAGGATGGACTGGGCTGAAGACAGACGGGGCCTCTGGAAACCACCTGACTGTGGAGGGGAAACAGACAGGGAGACAGCGAGGACGAAGCCTGAGGAAGTGGCAGCACCTCACATGTGGGGAAGAGAGAGGATCAATCCTCATAGGGGTAGAGGAGCCCAAGAACCAGAGGAGCTAGGCAATAGGGGGGTGGAAATTTGAGTGAGGGAAGTTGGAAATGATCTTTGAGGAGAACAGGAAGTGGAGCTGAGACAGGCAGAGCAGCCTTGAGGACATTTGGCCTCACTATGGGGGTGCCTGTCTGCTGCCAAGGCTGTGGTCCCCCATGTCACGGGGCTGCTCAGGTACAGAGAGTGGGTATCTCCTTTGTTGGGACATAACACTAACCATCCTCCAGAACCTTTTTGACAGACTTCCCCCATTCAGGAGAGGAAAATCCTGACCTGGTTAGTCACCCTAAAGCCTTTTTTTTTTAAAGAATTATTTTATATAAGCTTATCTATTATTTATTTTAATTTGACCAGAGAGGGACAGAGAGAGAGAGAGAGGATATGAGAAAACAAGCTGCCAGGTCTGGGACTCAAACTGCAGTCAGCCATGTGGGAGTCCAGCAGCCTCAACCACCACGCCACCTGCCAGCCCAAGCTTGATTTTTTTTTTTTTTTTTGAAGGGGTTTCCCACTGAGCGT